TCTGGGAAAATGCAAGAATTGTAACAATCTGCCCCCAAAAACCACTCTCCATGGGTACATCCAACATAAAGGCCTTAGGAAGTGCCTCAGACAGGGAGACTTAATACAGGTCTACCTGGCTACATCTACCTACAAAAATTTCAGTAAAGCCGTGGAATTAAAGAGAGACAACTCTGCTCTGTGAGAGGATACCAAGTGGTGGGGAAAGACTACTCAGGGAGAGACTGTTTGGAGTGGGCACAAAAAGCCCTGGGAGCTCAGAGGGAGAACCGGCAGCCTGCTTAGCTGGGAGGATTACAGACTTTCTGGCACTCCCTGCACCCCTGTATTTCCCACCCCAACAGCAGAGGCCTGAAGACTTGTGAGCCAGAAAAGTTCACAGTGCTCAGAAAGTAAATAAAACCAGTGATCAACTCAAGCACAGGCCCAGCTCCAGGCAGACCTACAACACTGCTAACACCCACCACCCACCACGGCACATCCAAGCATTAATGGAACCTGGGACACCCAAAGGCTACAAAGATCAACAGGCACCTTCCAGAGAGAAGGACTCAACATGTTACTGCAAGAAGCTAAATGCCACAAGAGACCCCTAACTATTACAGGCTGAGACAACAGACACAATTCCACATAATGGGGGCTGGAAAAATAGGAGATATTGAAACAAAGCACATCTCAGAGTATCCTCCACCACTGAGGTATCTGGAAGTCCCTCAGCTATCACAGAAAGAACATCCAGAAAAAATGCTGGTCAATAATAGCAACAATGTGTCTCAACAAATAGAAAGTATTAGAAAATACATGTCAGGGAAAAGAAGACAAGCAAATACCCAAGCAAGTTCACAGGGGAAAAATTCACCACAAAAAGATCAGAAACCACCAAAGAAATAGAAGAGCTGCTCAGCCCACCAGATAGAGAATTCAGAATCATCATGATTAAAAAAGAAAAAATAAAGAAGAAGATGATGAAAAGGAAAAAAAAAATGATATGAGGCATGCCATGAAGGAGTTGAAGAATGCAAACAAGGAAATGAATGAAAGAAATGAAAAAGAAAAAAAAAAAGATATAAGACAAGCAATCAATGAATTGAAGAAAGAAAATGAGAGACATTAAAAAAGGAAATAGAAGAAATGCAGGCGATGAAAAGGCCACTAGAGGAGATAAAAAGTGCTGGGAAAAGTAATGAAAAGAGAATAGATGAAATAGAAGAACAAATCAGCATGCTCAAAGACAAAGAAATAAAGAGAAGTAAAACAGAAAAAGAAAGAGAAATAAAAAGGAAACGGAATGAAGAAACATTTCAAGAGCTATCTGAATAAGTAAATCTTAAAAAAAAAAAAGAAAACTGAACTAACCATCATTATCCTCATCATTTTCATTCTGAGAACACTGTGTCTCACTAAGGGTTTTACATGGAGTTAAGAAGGAATCTGGTAGCATGTTTCGAAGTTGTTCTGGTGTAGTTCTAAAATGCAAAAAATATATAAATAAATAATAATTAAAATGTTAAAATGCTTTATCATAACATTTCCCAAACTAGATCTTGATTTATTTCACAAATATGTGAGCCTACAAAACTAATGATAAAATCATAGCTTTGCCTTTAATTGACAAAAACAAAACCAAACAAAATAACGGAATCTTAACATACTAAAATAATATTCCAAATCAAATTAATACCACACAAGGCTCTTCAATTATACATACTACTGCTTTTTGTTTAAAATAAAAATCAAAGTCATGTGATTCTCACACAAGCTGCATGGAGAATATGAAATAGGCCATATTATTTAGGAAGCTCACTTAAGAACAGGCATTATATCTCACAGTCTTAGCTGTATGAGCTTACTATTCTATGGCAAACTGCAGAAATTTTTCTAAATGTTCACCAAGGAAGCAGGGTTAGAATCTAGGTTCCCATAATAAGAATGTGAGATATTCTAGCTGTGACATCTATCACTCAAAAACAATGGGATTTAATGTGACATATCTCAGATAAAAGGAAATAAAGCCCAGAGATTCTCTGATTTTAGGAATGTTCACTTAGTTACAGAATATATTTCTAGATTATTTGATAGGTTGTAATTTAATTTTTAACTAAGAACATAAGTAGCCAGATAGCCCTATAGACTACTTAAGTTCATAGGATTTTCATCTAAAATCAGAGCAGTCTTAATAATAATAGATAACATGGACACAAAGCTTAAATTGTACCAGGCTCCTTTCTAACCAATTTGAGTACGTTACATTTTAATAAGTATATTAAATAAAATTTAATATAATCTTAATTTTATAGGAGAAGAAATTAAGACACAAAGAACTGAACCAAATTTCAGGTAATAAATTAAGAATATTTTGCTAATCATTTTGCTTCCCCAACTCTGTATTCTTGACCATCAGTTCCATTGCCTCTCTATTGGTTTTCAAAGGCACAAAAATTTCACAGTTTCTGATAACCTACATTTTAATATATGCACTATATAGATTAGAAATAATTTTTGAAAAAAACAAATTATTTCTTCATGAAGTGAAAACCCTAATTTTATGACTAAAGCTCAGAATCAATTTCATATCTAGATAATGGAGTAGTGGAGGTAAAGGGGTCCCATAGGCTGCTTCTGAAAGAAACACAACAGAGATGAGAAATTGTGGACAAAAGAAAAGTGATTTTCCCAAGAATAAAAACCGTACTTAGTCAAAAAACACTTTTTTTTTTTTAATATTAGGCACATGCATCAAAGCAGTGTTAAAAGATTATGATGCATAAATTAAGGATGAAATTATTTTTTAGATTTTTTAAGAACAGATTATGATAATAATTTATAGAATAGGTTATTGAGTATTATCAATTCACTTGGGAAACCTCATGATGAATAGTCAAAATCAATCATATGAATCAATGCTAGGTTGTTTACATCAGAGTCAATAGGAAGAAATGGTCTAAAATGAAGAATCTCGTATCCACCCTTAAGATCACCAACTTTTAGCCTCCCTATGTTTGGTGCTGAAACCAGTATTCTAGAAACTTGACCCATGGTGCTTCTGCTAGAATTAAGAGTTACATGTAACAGAAAATGTAGGAAAACTGATGTTAGAATCACAGCTAATTACTAACACTCACCTTTAATATTCTAAATCCAAATCTTACAGTCCTATATAAAGTTTCCCTAACATTTAAAAGAGCCACTGTGACAAATGCTATTACCATCTATCAATACTTACATATCCGTTACAGGTAAAAATACAAAAAGAATTGCTATGCAAATCAGAAAATAAGTATGAGAATAAAATGCAGTAGACATACTTATAACACTATAATAATGAATGGCAATTATAATCAACAATGAAATCTTAACTATGATTATACTTATCAGTTAGGAAACTTTGAAGCATAACATGAGAAATATATCACAAACTGATGAAATGCAAGAGGATTGCCCTAAATTAATATACATTTTTTTATGAAAATAAAGCATTAGCTCAAATAATAATTACTGTTTAAAAAAATTACCATAGGGGCCTCCTTGATGTTGTAAAGTGTTGACGAATAGCACAAAGAAGTCAGTGCATTTCAGTTAATCTGACTGTTCTGCTCCCTACTCTGTCTATGGTGAATCTTCTCAACCCCACCCCCACACCTCTGGCCTGTACCCAAATTCTTATAAGTAAAAATCTTTTAAAAATAAAATAAAAACAAAAATATATAACTGTAACTAAGATTCTGAGAATATCTTCATTAACTGCTTATCCCTGTTAAGGAATTTGGCACATTCAGTACTTAGCATAGTTCAAGACTTTTATGTGTCCATGAATAAAGCTACTTGAGTGTGTGCAAGTAAAGAGTGGACATTTGATTACAAAATAATGCTTCTTTAATAAAACAGAAAATTCAATATTAAAAATAATAATAGTGGCCACTAAAAAAAGGTAAGTAATCTTGGAATTGCTTTTTGAGTACATATTCCTAAACTAAAAAGAGGTTATCAACAGGTACATACTACTAACTTTCATACTCGAAAGAATGTTAAAATTGTACTTTAGGGCCCTCCCTGGTGGTGCAGCGGGTTAAAGCACAGCACTGAGAAGCTTAAGCCACTGCAGCATGAGTTCATCCCTGCCTTCCCCAGAGGTGACCACATGGCGCAGCAGACCTCTCCTGACCCACCCACTGCTCCCCTCAGCAGTGTACTTCGTCGATCTGCCTGTTCTGCTCCCCATTCTGTCCCTGGTGAATCCTCTCACCCTCCACATCGCTGGCCTGTACCCCAGGTCTGTATGAATAAATAAATAAATATTTTTTAAAAAATGTACTTTATAAGAGATATAGTGTAGATAGTAGTTACACAGAAATAATCAGAACAATACATAAATGAACTAACAATTTGCCACGTAAACCATAATGAAATACAATCACACACCTACTATAATAACCACCTAAAGGAAAAAACCTGAAAAATACCAGACACTGCCAGTGACACAAAGCACAAGGAACACTCATACACTGCTAGAAGGAATGTCAGCTAGTACAGACATTTGAGAAAATAAAGTTGGCAGTTTCTCATAAGATAAATACATGTATGTTATCCAATTTAACCACTTTACTTCCAAGTATTTACCCAAGGAATTAAAAACATACCCAAATAAAGGCTATATAAAAATAAATTTAAAATATTTAGCCACAACTGCCCCTAATTGGAAATCAGCTGGATATATCTCAAAAGATAACTGTGTATCATAAATCATGATAATGAAATACTCTCACAGTAAAAAGGAACTGTTCTTCATTCATTCAAGAATATAGGTGAATTTAAATGCATTTCTCTAAATTAAGAAATACAAAAGGTACATACTGTATGATTTCATTTAGTGACTTTAAGGTAAAGGCAAATATGTAAGGATGGAAATGGACCTGTGATGCAGGTTAACATTTTTTTCCTCCTTCAGTATTTGCTAGTTTTTGTTGTTTATATATATATATATATATATATATATATATATATATATATATATTTTACATCATCCTTAATTTTTGTGCAGTTTTTCATCTCAGTTGTAATCTCCATGGACTTTGTGCCACCAATTCACCCATCACCATAGTCCAGTGCATTCTTCCTACCCCAGTTCTGATCCCATTTCCCTTTCCACCCCCATAAAATCTCTCTGGTTCATAGTTGTTTCATTGTCTTCATTTTTACTCTATTATATTTGTCTCCCCCACTTTTGTTTTTCTTCTCCCTGACCCCTTATGCTCTGCTATGAGTGAAATCATCCAGTATTTTTCTTTTTTATTTCTGGCTTATTTCACTAACACATTAACTCAATATAACTGCTGTTAAAAAAAAATGTGTAAATAAAATTTTGGTAATATATTCACTAACTGTGTTTTCTGCTAAGGAAATTTGGCACAGTCAGTATTTAGCATAGTTCAGGATTTCATTTGCCCATGAATAAAATTTCTTGAATATGTCATATTTTCTGTTGGCTGGGAAAGAGGGGGGTGAAATACAAAGGGTAAACAATTAGAAATTCAAATTCACACTTTGAAATCCTAATATCCAACATGATCATATTTGGAAATGGAGAGTGAAATGAGGCACAGTCAACATGATGGGCTTTCTGCCACTATAAAAAAAAGGGAGTCTAGAGAGCCATATGAGAACATAGAGAAAAGACAACACATATGAATCAGGAAACAAGGTGTCTGAAACTTTCTAGTCTTCAGAATTTTTAGAAACAAATATGTGTGGCTTTTAATATACCCGGTCCTGCATATTTTTTTTTTTAAGATTTATTTATCTGTGCATACAGAACTGAGATACAGGCCAGAGGCTCAGGGACAGTGAGAGGCTTCACCAGAGACAGAATGGGGAGGAGAACAGGCAGATCGATGAAGTACACTGCTGAGGGGAGCAGCGGGTGGGTCAGGAGAGGTCTGCCACGCCATGTGGTCACTTTCAGGGCAAGCGGGAATCGAACTCATGAGGAAGTGGCTTTAGTTTCTTGGTGCTGTGCTTTAACCCGCTGCGCCACCAGGGAGGGCCATGGTCCTGCATATTGTTAAAGCAGCCTGAACAAATCAAGACTTTATTTTCAAAGATTTATTTATTTATGCATACAGAACTGGGGTACAGGCCAAAGGTAAAGGGGTGGTAAGAGGCTTTATCAGTGGCAGAGTGGGAAGCAGAACAGGCAGATGGGTGAAGTACACTGCTGAGGAGAACAGTCAATGTGACAGGAGAAGTCTGCTGTGCCATGTGGATCACCTCCAGGGCCTAGAATCAAACTCACACCACAACAGCTGCAGTTAGGTTGCAGTGCAGTCCTAACACTTTGTACCACCAGGGAGGGCCAAACCAAGGTTTTAATTATGAAAAGATTTATTTAAAAATGCAGAAAGTTAGTAAACACATTAACCATGTGAAGATCCAAATTGACTAGCCTGCCAAATTTGAGGAGGGACCCAGG